ACGTATGCGCTCTATTCCCCTTCCCCTTCAGATATTGTTAATAAATCCGGTCGCTTGCTCACACTATTATTCCTACAGATTAGTAAAACGTTGTTGCATTTGTATTTTACATTGTTATTGAGATAGAATAAATTTTAGCTGCTACAATATAATTTACACTCTTATCTTTGTTTTCTATTATGATCGAGGTTTGGGGTGGTTTGGGTTTTCCGTTCTGTGCACAAGAAAAAGTCGCAATCTTCTCTCAGCAGAGAAAATTAACCACTATAAAGCAAAATCATCGTAACTAAGCGGAGAAACTCTTTCGATATTCTTTCGTTTCATCTGAATTTGTAAACTTCTTCTGGTACCGGTTCTAGGGATATGAGGGCTCAGATATTTGGACGACAGGTTTCAATGTCGAATTTGACAGTAACGGAATAACATTTTTGGTTGTAGGGTTTGGGGCTTTCAGAGAGAATTTCAATTGAACTACTAAATAGTTTTTAAGGTTTTTAAATGCCCTTGAAATTTTGCTGTTGGATGTTTTCCTGTCTCTCGTCTCTCTTCATCTTTGTTTTCAATGAATGAATAAGTTGGCTGGGATGGTCCGATTCGGGGTTTGGCCTGGCGGTTGAAACCCATTGCGTTGACGGTGGGGGGTTGATGCAAGCGGCGTTGGTGAGGGAGAAGATGTAATGATGATGGATCCTCGAATGTTACTCTTGCACATTCTTGAAGAGTCTGATGAATTCCTTCTCAGGTTAGACCGTGTTTTGTATTTGTTGTTTGCTCTTTGTTTACTGAAAATGGGGGCCGAATTTTCCGAATAAACGGACGCGTGTTTAGTTCGCAAGGTACGGGTAATAGATGGGTTCCAGGAGAGAATTTGAAAGATAACTTTGGTTTTGTGGGTGTAGTCAGCTTTTATCTGCTGTTTTTGACTGCTAGTTATTATGTGGCGCTTACAAAAAAGAAAGCTGGTTTGGGCTGTACTGGAGTGAGAAACTGTATTATTGGGTTTTGTATTTATTGATATATGATTAGCGTTGAAATTATGGTTGTCGCTTGAGCCGCTAGGAGCGTAATATGTGATGGCGAGTTCTAAAATGAAGTGTTATATTTGCCGAATTGTTGTTGTCAAAGGCAAAGAGGGGAGAAGATTCTTTGGGATTTGTTAACATAGTGTTTTTAGAAATAAGCAGGAATTGAAATTTTTTTTTTTTTTTCCAAAATTGACAAAGAACATGCTCTTGATCCTTTCACTTGTGAAACTGGGATAGTCGCCGCTTTCATGCTTTTTTTTTTTTTTTTATTTTTTTTAATTTTTAATTTTTAGTGATATATTTGTACTTGCTGTTGGATTTACATAAAATTGCAAAAGAATTAGGTCCTGAAGAGATTTTCACAATATAGAGGATATTGTTAAAAGAAGTTGATCAGCTTCCTGATGTTTGGCAAACGCAAAAGAACGTTTCGCTTCAAGCGGTAAGTTGGACGTTTTTATACTTAAAAATTTTTGTCCTCGTTAGTTTTGTGATCTGAAAATAGGGCACCTGATTGGTGTGCGGTATTTATCTAGAGGAGTGTTCTTTTGGTTGAGGGATTCGAAGCGATCTCATACTATTATTGAGGTGGATTGTACACTTGCTCTTCATCGACCCTATCAAGCTGTTGATAGTGGTTGTCAAGTTGTTAGAACCATGGGCATTGCATGCGTTACAGTCTAGAGCCTATAGGTGACACTGGTTACAGTTTTTATCCAGTTCACGCCATAAAAGACCGGACCGATTCAGTAAATCTTCGTATCTACTAGAGGATGGTTTCCGAGATCTGGTTCATTTGATTGTGAAAGGAGGCTCTACCATTGTACCTTAAGGATTGATGTAAAACCCACGCGAATTCAACATCACAGATGAGAGGCCTATAGGGGAGCTTGCAATTAGCCTTGTCCTCCTTTATGCACACTTGCTCGGCTCCAGGAAGTCCTCAGAGAGTGGTGTTTGCCAATGTGCCAGGCGGCAGGATCAGAGGAACAGGATTGTAATTACAGCATCTCCTGTTGGCAGGAGCAAGAATTAATCCAATGCTGCTGGTAAGCTGGGCATGGAATCTTCGCTCTATTTGGCGTCAATGAAGCTCAATTCAAGCATATATAATAATCAAGCTATGGGAGGCCGGAGAAACGGAATATTCCAGGTAATCCCAGAGGAATTCTTCCAATGATGGTGCGTCTTTCTTTTCATAAAATGAATTTCTAAGCTTCAATATGAGACTCAGTTGTTTTTGTTTTTATTACTTTTTTTTTAAAGGGGAAAAATAAAGTTTCTTAGAGCCTTATGCGGCCATTTGAACCCAAACGATTTTTCCTGGTGGTTAGTGCTCAGCGGTATGGGTTGTGGTTTGGTTCGTGTTGCGGGGGTATGGCCCTGGGCAATTGGCAGCGCCTGACGCTTCAAAATGGGCCATTTACCATGACCAACTCCAAGAAGGAATTGGATGTTGACACTGCTCGCTTTAATAACCTGAAAAACTGACTTTAGATTTCCGGAAAATGCTTCGGAAAAGTTTGTGGATTTTTTATAGATAATTTATGTGGAGTGATTGTATCATTTGTATAGAGGAATCACGAGTTGCTTCACACAAAGCAGTTTCTAGTCAGAATGCCAACTTTTGATCGTCCATAATTTCACTGATGATATATCTAAATTTATCATGAAATGGTTAGGGTTCACCTTACTCGGGCAGGGAAGCACCCATACGTGAGGACATTGGTGAATTAGTTCTGATAGTGAAACAATTTTTTGATTCGCCTGCACAGTGTTATTTTGGTGGAGATTTCAAATTGAATTTTGGCAAACGCCAAGTTGGTAAGTCTTACTACCGGGAACTAACAAAAAGATGATGTAAAAAGACTGAAAGGGAATAGAATGGATTGAAAATCGATAAATCCAAGACGGAGTATGTGCTATGCCCTATCCCTGAACCCATTTTCCGATCGATTGATTTTACTTGCTGATTGTTAACGAGCGATTTGAAATTTTAAAAAAGTGAAAAGAGTTAATGGATACCAATCTAAATTTCTACATCGTATGCAGTGAAGGAACAATATTCTATCCCTCCAATACTGATCGGTAAAGACCGTTGTCTATGATGACAAAGTGGTCGATCATTTAGGACGACGCACAATGCCCATTCAGTTGTAATGCCCAGTCGGCCAGCAACAAGAAGCATTACTGCCTCCATAACAGAAAAAAAGAATTCGTAGTGAAGATGAAATGCAATGAGGAGCCCTGAAAATCTGCAGATTCTGAATAAATTAACCTTAAAAAATGAATGTATGTGATAGAAAGCGTTTTTTTCGTATCGAGAAATAGTCCTTTGTTGATGCGTGTGACCGAAGCATCATCCTTTTGGTGTTTCTGATCGTATCTGAACAATGCTCACAAAAATGATTTTGAGTAAACCTGACAATCTTGCTTGAGGAATGCTAAGATAACAGCGGTGCTAAAGTTGTGTATACAAGCAAGACAGTAAAATAGTAAATACTGCTTTCATCCACGCGTCCGGGGGCCATTTTTCAAGCATCAAGTCCGTGAAATCTAAGTTCTAGAGTACATTTTGTCTGTGTAGCCAGAATCCTATCTTGAGGAAGACTACATTAGTGGGTTGCCGTTGAAGCGAAAGCCAACGCTGCTCGGCACAAACCGACAATCTGCTTGCACGTGTGATAGCTAGCCCCAAGTCACTCGTCACCAGTCCATGTCTCAGATATGGGTGAGTCCTATTTAGATCTACTTTCTGCCATGCAAACCCGCACATAGGAGCTAATCGTATGAGCGGGTCCTTTGAGCATGCATTGAGCAGATGAGTTCTGCCGTGATGTCATCTGAGTTTCTGATATGCACATGAATCTTAAATTCTCAAGTTTGAAAGTTTTAGAACTATGAAGTTCGTAAGATTGGATTATGGTGCAACAAGGTTAAATATATAAATGTATGGTGCGCATTTGATGCGGTATGCATAACAGATTATTCTCAATCCCAGCTGAGTCCAAGTTCCACCAAAGAGGATTTTGGCAGTAACTCTTTGAACTCAGTTTGGTAAATTTTCGGGCCTTGATACACTACTATCCCATTGGACCGAATGGGTCGCTTGGCACGAATGTGTGAGGATTGCGATAAAACGTCACTTAGTCCTGGTCTGTTAACAATGAAAGTAAGTTGACAATGGTATTTTACTACCGCGTACTACCTCGGGTTGGAGAGAGCAAAGAAATGAAAGTGAGAGAGAAATCTATTGTAAGATTTAGCTATCATAACCTCAATGAAAAAGAAGGATACTATACTCAAGCGGTAAGAAGTATACCTAGTTCAGCGTGCGCATAGTATACGACGATTAAGAAGTGAACCATGTCTTTGTTGGACACTGACTGACCCTCTTATACTTCTCTTTATTATTATTTGTTGGTGGTTAAAAGTCTCTCTATTCTGTTTCTATTTATCCTATCCTATCCCAATCAAATAAATGAGAGAATTAATAGTTATCCATGAAGTATAACATACATCTTTAGACTGAATAGTTGGGGTTCTTAAAATGAAATTGCGACTTACTACTGGATTAGTCTAGAATGGGGTCAATCATCTACGTGCCCTACTGCTTTCGTTCTCTCTCTCTCCGTACTCTCTCTCTCTCCTCTCTCTCTGCTGGATACCTCTTTTATTTTTTTTTCTTCTAACCCTATTTTTGAAATTTATCTCATGAGTTAGAAAATGACTGTGTTATTCAAGGATCATGATTGGGTTTCCTCATCTCTCTCTCTCTCTCTCTCTCTTCCTCTCTTTTTTTTTTTTCTTAAACTATTTTTGAATTATTTTAATGTTAAGAATGACTGTGTTATTCAAGGATGCATATTGTGGGTTTTCCTCATTCTCTCTGATCTCTGTTCTTACGAAGGTTCTGTTGCTTTACATGAAGTTCTCAATGTGTCACCTAACTAATCTCAAGTGTTTTCTGGACAGCGAATTGCTTTATCATGGATGATTCAAAAGGAGACTTCCGGCATGAACTGTTTGGGAGGAATTCTTGCAGATGATCAGGTGGGTTTTCTGAGCAAAAGTTATTGATGGTATACTTGTGAAGTTTTATTTTAACATGAATTCTCTTGCAGGGATTAGGAAAGACAGTATCAACAATTGCTCTCATACTTAAGGAAAGACGTCCATCTTTTAAAGCAGATCAGCAAGTTGTTAAAAAAGAAGAGTTTGAAACTTTAGATTTGGATGATGACGATGATGAGGTTATTGAGGTTGGCGGAATGACAAAAAATGCTGAAAATTGTCAACATATGTCAAATCAAAGTTCAAAAACGAGCCCCGATAATGTTGGGCAGTCTATGGGAAGGCCTGCTGCGGGAACTCTTGTTGTTTGTCCCACAAGTGTCTTACGGCAGTGGGCTGAGGAGTTGCATAAGAAGGTAACCCATAAAGCTAATCTCTCTGTCCTGGTATACCATGGAAGTAATCGAACAAAGGATCCTTGTGAGCTAGCAAAGTACGATGTTGTTCTAACAACATATTCAATTGTTAGCATGGAGGTCCCAAAGCTGCCTGTTGTTGATGAAGGTGATGATGAGAAAGGAAAAGGAGAAGGCGATAATGTTGCATCCTTGGGGCTTTCATCTGGTAAGAAAAGAAAATATCCGCCCAGTTCTGGCAAAAAGGGTTCTAGGAATAAGAAACAAATGGATGCTGCATTACTTGAGTCTGTTGCTCGACCTCTTGCAAAGGTGGGATGGTTTAGGGTTGTCCTGGATGAGGCCCAGAGCATCAAGAATCACAGAACTCAAGTAGCTAGGGCCTGTTGGAATCTTCGTGCAAAGCGAAGGTGGTGCTTGTCTGGCACTCCTATCCAGAATGCAATAGATGATCTTTATAGCTACTTCAGATTCCTCAGATACAATCCTTATGAGGTCTACACTTCATTCTGCTCTACATTAAAGATTCCAATTCAAAGGAATCCTACAAAGGGGTACAAAAAGTTGCAAGCTGTTCTGAAAACAGTAATGCTTCGTCGCACCAAAGGTCAGATTGAAGTTTGTGACTGCTTGAATCAAAATATTCTTTGGTCTGCTTTAAAAATCTTGGTTGCAAATGTTATATTCGGTAGCATGATCTTGAGTTTTTAATTGGATCTATATTTATCAAAGTATTGAAAATTAGATGCGTACTCAATAATTACTGATTGCAGTGGTTTGTGCTCATCATCTTACTGTTATTGTTTGATACAGCAACACAAATTGATGGCGAACCAATTATTACCTTACCGCCCAAAGTAGTGCAACTGAAAAAAGTGGATTTCTCAGATGAAGAGCGTGATTTCTACACAAGATTAGAGGCTGATTCGCGTGCTCAGTTCAATGTATGTGTTTAACTAGACGAGTAACATGGGTGATGATTTTTTTTACTTTTTGTAAATAACTTATATTTTACTTCTTTTCATTTTCTTTCCCTTTCTTTCTTTACACCTCCCTCCTCCTTTTCCTTTCCGATAAAAAGCTTATTATTCTGATAATTATTTAGGAATTGTTATGTTGCAAACGTGTGCATTTAATTTGTTTGTCCTGCCAGGAATATGCAGCTGCTGGAACTGTCAAACAAAATTATGTCAACATCTTGTTAATGCTGTTGCGTCTGCGTCAAGCTTGTGATCATCCTCTTCTTGTTAGGGGCTATGATACAAGTTACCTGGGGAGATCCTCAATTGAGATGGCTAAAAAACTTCCCAGGGACAAACAAAAATGCCTTTTGAATTGCCTAGAAGCATCTTTGGCAATCTGTGGCATCTGCAATGTATGTATTTACTCATTTTGTCCTGCTTCAATGTTGTCTCTGTTCATTTTCTGCAATGCATCCTCAATTGAACTGGAAAGAGGCCTTCTAGGGATTTGACAGCCTGCTTTTTGTGAATCTATCTTTCAGAGCTTTGCTGAGTTCAACTCTGAAATTTTGAAGAACAAGAAATTTCATATACTTGCAAAACGATGTAGGGCGTCTAGGCTGTTATATAACAATTGAAATAATACATTCAGTCTCTGAATGTTAAATCCCTATAGGACATAGATTTTTGCGTAAACCACTAGGATGAATACTAGGTGAAATTTGTTTTGGCTAAAAATCTAATACTGAATGACAACATGGGGGCTTAATAAGAGTTATTAAGAGAAACATGCTGCTACACCAGTTCATTTGAGAATCTTTGGAATTTACCAGACCCCTGGAATTGAATCTTTGAGAAAATCTAAGTGAATCCATATTACCTTAAAATTTAAAAATAAAAGCCTCGTCTAAAACTCATCATTTGAGGTTTAGTTTTAGTTTCCGTAATTATAGGGTCTCCAAATCAGTGTTGCACGTTAAATGTGGCTTTCCATATTGTCGGATGGCTACTGCCAGGCTTTCCAATCAGAGGGTGTGCCATGTTTTATTGATGACTAGATAAGGTGTTAAAAAAGTCATTGTATAAAATGTTTATGGCTGGTTATATTTCCCTCCCGGCCAAATCTCGCTGGTTGTATTTAATTGTTGAACCGATGTGTTCTCATTCCACTCTTGGTAATTGAGGTGCTGATGTTATGTTGTAAATGGGTGGCTGATGATTGTGTCTCTGGTATAAGTTTCTATTTACTGATTCAGTGTGTATGAGAATAATTTTGCTCTAAATTATGCTGTATAGTTTCCGTGTTGGGGTGTATGTTTTCTATTAACCTTAAATTGTCTTGATCAACTTTTCATTCTGACCAAATGTGTTTTCATGGTTCATACTCTGATGAGACTTCATTTTTCTGTAGGATCCACCAGAAGATGCCGTTGTTTCGATCTGTGGTCATGTTTTCTGCAACCAATGCATATGTGAACATCTTACTGGTGATGACAACCTATGCCCCACCTCAAAATGCAAAGTTCGATTGAATAGTTCTTCAGTGTTTTCCAAATCCACATTAAACAGTTCTCTCTCTGACCAGCCTGCTGTAGATGGGTTTGGCTCTGAAATTGTTGATGCAGTTAACCCTTACTCTGAGATTCCACCATATGATTCTTCAAAAATCAGAGCCGCTCTTGAAGTCCTGCAGTCACTGACTAAACCACAGGATTGCTCATCCACAAATGGTTCCTTAGATAAATTTTCTGATGGAGCTGCTACTTCTCCTGAAAACTTGTGTAGTTCTGGGATTTCAGTAGATGATAATACTGATGAAGGATTTTTATCTCTGGACAAAAATGTTCAGGATTCAGTTAAGCAGGTCGGCGAGAAAGCCATAGTATTTTCCCAGTGGACAAGGATGTTAGATTTGCTTGAAGCTTGTCTTAAAAATTCTTCTATTCAGTACAGAAGACTTGATGGAACAATGTCAGTTGTTGCCAGAGATAAAGCAGTGAAGGATTTCAATACACTCCCAGAGGTTTGGGGGAAACCACCTTCTAATATTTCATGGAGAGTTATATGTCTACTGAATTTATTTCTGATTTTTTATCCTCCTTGCTTTGTAGGTATCAGTTATGATTATGTCTTTGAAAGCTGCTAGTCTAGGACTAAACATGGTTGCAGCTTGCCGTGTGCTGCTTCTGGACCTCTGGTGGAATCCCACTACTGAAGACCAGGCAATTGATAGAGCACATCGAATAGGACAGACACGCCCTGTTACTGTTTTGCGTTTAACAGTGAAAGATACCGTTGAAGATCGTATTTTAGCTCTACAGGTATTATTCCTTTATTTTCTTTCTCTTTGTCGTATAACTTATTTAGAAGTTCCTGATTTCATTTTTGAAAAGTTTATGTAGAGATGACATTGATGGCTACGCTCTATGGTTTGTTGGAAGTATTTAGTTTTCATTATTCAGTTATTGGTTCTCAGGCATGTTACTTATAGATGTTTCAGGATTAGAGCCTTAGAGCTCCTCATTAAATTAAGTTGGGACTTTGGTTTGGCGAGGCATTTATCTGGTGAAAACTTTAACCTAAGGTGAAATGATTAGGTTGTTTAAGTTTAAATTTTAGTAGCTGTTCAAGTGTTAACTTTAAGTTATTTTGTTTTTGTTTCATATATACTTTTGGGCAAGGACTGGAAAAATAAAAAAGAGGTTGAGCTTGGGGATTAGGGCAATATGGTTCATCTGTATCCAGTAATTAAAATCACATGAGCCACACAACTTGATTGTGTTGGCCTTTTTGAGATCTCTACTCGAGTTCTTCATTCTCATCTATGCAAATTGGGCAAGCTTTTGATGTGATTGGTATTCCATGCTTGATTTGACATGATTTGTAGCTTGTAAAGTCTCTAGTTTCTGGTTTATTCACTTTTAAGACAGGTAAAATGACAGATTAATTACTTGCCTCTTTTGTCCTATCTCTCTATTTTTCTTGCATTCTATAGCTGATATGTGAAGTTTTATCTTGGATCCTGTATTCAGATATTTTTATTTTCTTGATTTCAAATTTGTGTTTCTGAAAAATCCTTGATCTTGCAGCAAAAAAAGAGGGAGATGGTTGCATCTGCATTTGGAGAGGATGAAACTGGTGGTCGTCAGACTCGCTTAACAGTAGACGACTTAAAGTACCTTTTTATGGTGTGAAGATGGAGATAATAATATTTAGAAGACATTTTTTTGCCGGACTCAGATACATCATCTATAGGTCCCAGCCAGCAAAGATATATAGGTAGATATTCTTAGCTGCTTGCTGCTGCAGCTCTATCATTAAATTGAACCATAGCCTGACTAGTTTCAACATTCATACCTCAGAAGTTTTTTTTCCTGACGAGAAAATACATGCATAGGTGTTATTTGAAGATGATCCATTTTTTATCCATTTTTTGGCAGCTCTAACAATTGATCTCCTCGTTTGTCTCCATAGTTGAAATAGAGTCTTACAGCTAGTATAGATAGAGTTTGATAGGTACATATGTAACTTTTCTTTTTACAAAATTTTCCCCAAGTGTAAATGAAAGGGGTATTTCCTTTTGATTAAATTGTTATATTGTTTCTCGTTGTACAGGGATTATGATTTCCATATGTTTTTGACTGTAGTGGTCAAAAGACCAAATATTGTGCTGATGAAAGTATTTTTCTCTATTTATTTTTGGTTTTTCGATTGATGCTGTTCCAGTTATGTCATGTAATGCAAGAGTTTCAGGTTTGGATGCTGTTGAATGATTGCTCATCATTTATTTATGGGAAAGATGTTAAAAGTTGGATGACTCTTAAATATATATATGTATTTTTTTGTATCTGACGGCTAAACCCGCTGCATTAAGTTGATCTACTTGCTGTCTAAGTAATGTTAAGATGTGGTCTTAAGGGGGAAAAATAAAAAGGGTTACTGAGCGATCCAAGCCAGCGGGTGTACTACAGCCACCCAATGTACGTTGTTGCGGGCTTCGGACTTAGGAGAGTAATATCATATAGAAAGAATGGAATCTTTTTAATCGGGCCAGGTCCCATGGTCTAGCGGTTAGGACATTGGACTCTGAATCCAGTAACCCGAGTTCAAATGTCGGTGGGACCTTATTTTTTATAAAATTTTATTTAGACTTGGAAAATCATAATATGATAATAAGTTAAAAACGAATGTCAATGTGATTTTTACATGGTATTTTTATTCTATTCTATCAGGCAGAGCTGAAGTTCAGGTCCCCATTTGCCAAACTACACAGGGTAATACGCCTCAGAATTCTACTATGAAAGTCGATTAAACAAACACTTACCTGATCAACATAAGAATGAAAGGAAATTGCTATCATAAGTTTACATCTATTAGGAAAAGGAATTCTTTTACAAGTCTCTGATTGATGTTTGGAATTAGACTCGTAAAGTTTCTCAAGTTACAGACAATTTTCCCCATTTAACATCTACAATTCAACCAGGACGAAATGTCATTGCGAACAATTTGAATATTTTCATCTGTCTCCCCAAACAGCAAAGAATGCATCATACCATCATATATCTTGATTGTCTTGTCATTGCTCTGTGACTCTTCATACAGAGCTCTGCTAACATTTGGATCAGTAACAACATCAGCGTTGCCATGTAACACCATAAAAGGAATGCTAACATCACATAATCTTTGACTCAGATAATCGGTGACTCTCAACAGCTCAACAACAGTACCCAATCTTGGTTTTCCCCTATATCTCATTGGATTCATTTCTCCAATCGGCTTCTTTTTCTCTACTTTGATTGACTTGGATAAAACATCTGCCGTTGGTACAATTGCCCAAGTTGGAAAAAATTTTGCAACAAATGACAAAATCTCAGGAATTGGCCATCTGGGTTTCATTGCCTCAGAGATTTTACACATTGGTGCGACCAATATCGCTCCGTCGAACCCTCTAGGGTTTGCTAGATGAATAAGAAGGCAAATAGCGCCGCCCATTGACTCACCATACAAAAATGAAGGCAACCCATGAAATTGTGGATCTTGCTTTATAGAATTGAAGAAAAAATTGCAATCTTGAACAACGAGATCTACGTTTGGAACATAGGCTTTGAGGCCTTGAGATCTGCCGTGGCCTTCAATGTCAATACCAAAGCAGGCAAAACCCTTCTGGGCAAGGAAGATAGCTGTGGACTGAAACGTCCAGCTGATGTCATTGCCGTAGCCATGGACCATACAGAGGATGCCACGAGGAGGGGTTGTGGAGCTGGAGAGCCATGATCTGGTGAAGAGAGAGAGGCCTCTCGGTGAGGTGTAAAATGAATGTGAAGCTCTGATTCCTTGTTGCTTGTAGTACTCTTCTTCTGGGGTTTTGCCCCAGTAGTGAATTTCGGTTTCAGTCAAGAGATTTTCTTGCTCCTGCATCTTTGGAGAAAGATTGTAAGATTGCAATACTGCTATATGTTCTCTGTTTTGGTGTTTCCGTGGATGGATGGCACTTGGTCGGCTGCTGGCTGTGAATTTAACTTTTCTCTTGGGTTGGTTTGGATTGGACTCGGTTTTGCAACAGTTGACTTTTATTTTGTGGGCAGGCTTCCCCAGTTATTTTTGGAAGTTGAGGTCAGTGCTCTTAGCCCATTACTTTATGGCCGCACCCCGCAGCAAACTATATTACATTCAATGCATTGTGCTTATCTTCACTAACTTGAAATAACTACTTGATGATTTTTGTTTTGGGGGTTAACTTATCATGGGGGTAATTTTACATCTTTCAACAAAAGCCAGTTTTTTTCACATCGATGAATATGTACCATAAGAAGGTTCATGTATCATTTCTTTCTAGTGAAAACATAAAGCACATGCCTTTCTTCCTTTCTTCTTTCTTACTTTTTTTTTCTCAATGAGGGCATAAAGTATATGCCTAATTATTACTTAGTTTCTAATGCATATGATGAAAATTTGTTGTGTAAATTAATTATGCATTACATACCTAATTAATTTACATAGTGCCTAATGCATGTCATGAAATAAATTAATTAGGCATAAAGTCGCACCTAATTAATTTACATAGTTAATTAATAATTAGGCATTTTGTCCTATTGAAATGAAAACTCTAGTTAACCTACAATGAACTAGATGCCTAGGCTTCAATGCAAAACTTGTCAAGTTTCTAGCAACGCCATAGATCAATAGCTGCTATTCATAGTGTTATTTACTAGTTATATGCCTGTATTCATCAATTTTTTTAGACAAATTAAAGGCAAGTGAGATTCTTCTTACTTTGCCTTTTCTTTCAGAAATCTTGTAATAATTCGGAGTCCTGTGCAGGTTTCTTTATCCCAATAGAGACTCACATACTGCACAGCTTCCCCACATGTTGGGATTGCTTAAAAGGCCAATTCGGCCACCAACTTGAGGGGATTTTTAGTTATTGACTGCAACTTTGAGTTGAGTAGTCTTACTACTATATCTCTAGATTTACAAACCATGTGTTTTAGTATGCAATATCAAGATGTTAGGTGTCGACAATTTTCAGAAGTTGAACCTGTTTCTTTGAAAGCAAGATAATGCAGTTGGTTTCAGGATTGCATGTGAAAAATGCTTAGGGAAATGTTTAGTCGGTGCATCAATTAAGACTTTTGTAAAGTAGTTGGCGGTGATTTATCAAAAGTGTGCGTTTGTTCTTGCTGAAATTCGGGGAAAAGCACAATAACTTGAGTACCTCCATATCTACTATAAAAGTAGAGAAACTAGTTCTTCTTTTAAATGCCCCATAGGATAAGTCCCTTGCAAAGCTAAGAGAAGAAAATTTTTAATGTTTCGTTGTGATAGCAATGAAAGAACAAAGAAAGAACAAAATGGAACAGGAAGTGGAAGTATATTATTCTTTTTATGCATAATTTCAGGACAGGAAAAAGATAAAGGTAGTTCAGAGGGAATAAAAGGACACAGAACTCAAGAAAAAACCTTCCCCAGCAAAGAGTCATATTTGGGGAATTTTGTTATTTATTCTACTACGTTATAGTTTCACTCTTAGAGGGGGAAAAAAAATATATTCAAAAATAAGTATTGCACTTGAGAAATACTAAGATATACTTTAAGCTCGGTGTAGAGAAGTTTTTCAGAAGATGTAAATTTTTATTTATTCAATTGATAATGATGCAAAAGTTTTGGTAGGTCAAAGTATCATAAATAAATTTATCATTGTACTTTGCGTAAAAAAACCTCTCAAACTTTGCAAGAAAACCTCTTGTACCTCTAAAATTATGGATTTTGATAACATTACACACCTCTCCACATTACACAATTATTTTTTGGTATTTCAGCTTTTATATGCAAAATATTAATTTGATGCGTGGTTACTAAAACTTTTGAATAATCTTACATTTTTTAACTATCCATTAAGTGTTTAATTGATTTAATTTTACAAGTTGAAATATTAAATGGAAAAATTTTGCAATTTGAAGTGTTTAATACGTGCAATTTATAAATTGAAGTGTTCAATTGGCCAAATTAAAAATTGATGGTTAAAATGAACAGTAAAAAGATACAAAATTTGAATTCTCTTTACATCAACTTTTCTGGTCATAGGACTGACTATCAATTTCCTGTTGAAGAGATGTACAACAACAAGAATTAAAGAAATGCAACGAGAAGCTTAACAGAATCAGCTTTGTTATCGATGTTAAACTTCACGTAAAACTTGGCCCATAAGCTATTTTGCCTTCTCAAGCTCCAGAAGGGTCAGATGGCCACTCGATTAGATAATAAATTATGGATAAAAGATTAGATAAATGGCATACGCACTTTGCTATTTTATATGTTCTAATTTAACCATATGTCAAGTGTTTGAAAGAGAAACCTATGTACCAGCAGATTTTTCTTGAGGGCTAAAGTTAAGTTATTGATAAATGTGGGTGGATAGTTATCTTAAGCTAGGATAAGATTGCCAAATGGTTTTACCACATCATTTTTAATTTTTGGATGGACGAAAACTAGGCCATTTTTTCTTGTAAGTGACACTTAAAATGATTGGAAAGGAGTGGGTGAATCTAATTTGGCTATCGGCATTTTCAGTATTATAAGTATTAAATTCTTTTTTACAGAAGAAATATGCCTTCAACATTGGTAGCAATGGGAATCTCATGGGCAATTTAACTTTTGAAAAATTGTTGTTAATGGATGGAGTTGTGTATAATAGCTTTCAGGGGCACTGGTAACTGCATATTTTGATTATTAATTCAAGGTTAAGCATGAATATGCTTATTTAATTAGTAATTTATGATAATGGTTTAAGGTGAGTGAGTACAAGCAATCTTAGCTCTGAGGAATAACACGACTATGGATCAGATTCCTATGTTTGTTCTGCATGGCTATTGACAACTTAAGGATGCATGATATGACACCTTTCTTTGAAAAATTTGATGCTGAACCTGCAGCCTCTTATAGTGCGGTTTATCACAACTTTGATCAGGTCATGAATTGCTGCTAAAGAGCAAAATTAGAAAAAGGAAGTTGAAGTTAGACATAATACTTAGTAAAGAAAGCTGAGACAAAGCTTTATGCAAGATTTGTTTGAAAGGCTAACGTGTATCCCCTGGTTCAGTTTAGTTGCACAACACCCAAATTGGCGCACCAGAAGTCACACACACACATCACACAAGGGTGTTTTAAGTCCCTATCGTGATAGACATATCTTATCATTTACTATTAAACTACAAGATATAGGCTATTGTGATTAGCGCAAATTTGTACTTTTCCCCCTTTACACTGACCAATCCTTCCTAGTGGCTGTGAAATAAACCAAATAAAGGGAATGACCTAATTAATTAGTTTAATAAGGGAATTGTGGACATCCATTGGCCAATTTAAAGCTGGCTCTGATTTATTCAGAAGTTGGAAGTTGATCTAGCAAATCTCTTGTTGGTTGCCATTTTCGGGTGGCAAGAATATGATACATGGTGGGGAAAGTAGTCATAGATAATACTTTGGATATCAATTTCCTGATAGAGAACTTTGATTATTCTAATCCAACATAGTCTTGTGGGTATGACACCATACTAAATGACAACTATCTTCTTATATAAAAAGATTATCTCAATCCATTGTATATAATTTTGAGGACTGACTAGAATCATAACCAGCTATGATTATATAGATAATGAAGAAATGAGAATAGGATTGTTTTTATTTTGACTTTTAAATAGTATCATGAATTATGAATAAGAAAAGCGCATATGAGGCTTAAATGGAAAGTTGATGTAAGAATAGCATCTTTAAAAGCATTATTTTATTATGATGATGATTTTTTGAGGAAGTATATCTTTGAATTGAAAATAAAGAAAAGGTGCAAATAAATTATGAACTGAATGTCTAAGAGATGATTTCCATCTCATTCTTCAACTAAACAAATATGGATTCCAGGTCATTGTTCAACAACCAACTTAGTTATTCCTTTCATACCTTTAACCACCTAGAGTTCACCATCAGATTCAAGAGTCATAGATGAAAGGTTCGCCACAAAACTCCATCTTTCTACTTTGCGATGATGAGATTCTCAAAAATAGTTACCTTTTTGTCCATTTTAGGGGCACCACCAATTTGGAATTGGTTCTTATACCACTATCTTTTTTCCACTTGGGCGCTTTCATGACATGAGAAGTGACTAGCTAGAATGTGGTCAATCTGAAAAGATATCACCACGTGCTGTAACTGGATTTGGCCTTTTTTTTTTTTTTTCATAATCGTAACATTTGAATGCAGTATTGACTCTGTAACAGTGGTCTAACGTTCAAATGTTGCCACTACTCTTAATTTAGGGGGTGATTTGATCCCTAGGCTTATTTAATATTATCAGATTCCTAGACTGTCCCACTGGTCAGTAGCTGCACAAACTAATGGCTTCAGGATAAACTTTAAAGCCGTTGGCATCTTCTTGTGTACATAATGCATAAATGATAATGATACTAACTGTTTCTTACTTATATTTTTTTTGTAATATTTCATTCGTCCAGTGATGTATATGACTCACCAACTTAGTTGCTTCTGACTAGACTTGAAATTGAAGAACTTATTAGTGTCATCTATATGTGTAGTAAATTCTTTTTGATGGTTTTATACTTTGCTGTGCTCTTGGATTTTGGGTTATCCCGTTTATTTAATCTCTTTAAGAAGTTGTTGAAGAAGAATAGCCAATGATGATCCACTAATGTTCTTTCCAGTGGTGCCATTTGACGAAACGTCCCATAATTTTTTTCCATTTCCACCATCAGCAGATGTATCCACAAAGGATACAGCTTAATTTAAATTAATAGAAAATTGGATAGCTTTTAGTGCTTGTGTGCTAATAAGTAATATGCAAAAACTTGCTTAGCTGATAGTTGGACATTGATAAAAATGCCATTCTTTAACAATTTTCAGATTCACTTGATGAGACCAAGATAAAGAACCAAGAGGCAAGTTCATAACTTTTGAAATCACTAGATTATTCTCAGACCAGCTGTAACATCCCTTCTCGGTCCACCCGTAAACCCGAATAAACCGAGACGAGACGCTACAAACTGGTTGACTGTATGTCCTGTCATGCTGACATCATCCTGTATGGTTGACTATATGTCCTGTCATGCTAACATCATCCTGTATGTGAACATACTAGCATGCTGATGCTGTTATATTAATACTGTCTATAATCTTTACAAGACATGATACTAGTTACAAAAGGCCCAACTGTGTGCCCTTTACATGCCATAAAAAGAATAACAAAATGACAGTTTTCTTACCCTGAAGACCGAGTCTTCTACAGATGAACGGCAGCAGCAGTTGTAAACGTAAACGGACCCTCTATGGACTAGTCTCAAAACCTGCGAGTTAAACAGGTAACTCGCTGAGCAAATAAAGCTCAGTGGATATCTCAACATGGAAAGAAACAATAAAGCACATACTTGTATATAAAGAATCATGTAGGCACACAAGGCACAGCACACATATCATGATATCTTTCATTTATCTGTATGATTTATGCAATGTTATGTCCAGATATCTGTATGGCTCCATAAGGTTATAGCGAAATCGAGGTGATAAGAAAACTGTATAAACTGGATGAATACTGTATACTTGGCTGCTATGGCCCATATAATCATATCCACTCAACGGCCTGTAGCCGGAGTAATGGAGCCGGAGTAAACAAACTGTATGAGGCGCAAGATCTTGCTATCCTATGTCGCTACATGGCCTTATCGACATGTTTCTTACCTAACCTCAAGGAGCATAATGTTGGTATTCAAATGTATAACACAACATCACAACATCATAGTAATAGTTCATCGCTTTATAAATCATAATGTTCATATGATTTCACATCATTTGCATGCTTGGATGTTGTTTTGATACATGTTCTAATGTTGTCTTTTTATTTTAGAATGATTGGATGCATACAAGTTGAGCAAAGTAATCCAATTGCATAGAAAAGAAAGCCAAAAGTGCAGGAAAAGACAGGTCGCGGGCGCGCCTGTGGAAGTCGCGAGCGCGAGATGCAGAAAATAAGAGACAGTGTGTTATCGGGCACAAGTCACGATCGCGTACTTGAATGTCGCGAGCACGACATGGAGGTCGCGATCGCGTAATGTGCAAGTGGAGAGTCAGTGAGTTTCATGCCAACTACGCGAGCGCGCAATGCAAGTCGCGAGCGCTTCCAGGCTAAGGGCCAACTTCACGAGCGCATCTTGCAAGGTCGCGGGCGCGTAATGTGCCAATTGAGAGTCAGAGAGTTTGAAGCACAAGTCGCGAGCGCGCAGTGCAAAGTCGGGAGCACGCGCGACGTGCTTCCCAGCCTACGCAGTGCCAGGTCGTGACGCGTTTCTAGCCTGCGCAGCCTGCGCAGTCTGCACTCTTTTGGTCATATCTCTCAATATACAAATCCAATTTGGGTGATTCAAAAACCCATGCAACATTAAATGGGTTCAAAATCAAGATGAAGTTGCTGGTAAAATTTCCAGCAAACTCTGTTTCCACTTCATATATTCATCCCCTGTTTTCAACATAAACTCAATACCTCCCCTGTTTTCTCACCACTACCATTCTCCAACACAAAGCAATATATTGTCTCAATAGCAACACACCACAAAAATTCTCATGCAAGGACAATAATAAAAATCAAGAGATATCAGACCTTTACTCCAAAAACGCGTGAGCTCTGTTCTAACTTCTCTTCTCTACACTCTTTGAACTTCCTTCACCTAGAATAAAAATTCTTATCACTTATCTACGATATAACTCAATTAGAGGTTGAATAGCATAAAGCTTCAAGAAATTCTACTTACTTGGAGAACTAGAGGTTGCCTTAATGCTGGGTTGCCAATGGCATGAAAGAAATAGAAGAAGATAAAGCATAAAGATGAACAATGCGGAAATAAAATGATGGATTACGGAAGTCATCACAAAAATCAAGATAAATGATTGGAAACTTAACTAAATTGATACCTCAATTGTAAAAAAAGGCTTATAACTAATTACCCAAGCTTGTTTCTTTAATGCCATTAAATCCTAATCCTTACACTTTGTCTTTTTCTTTTCAAATCAAGTTAGTCTACTAATAATCCCATTCTACCCCAAACCGGCGGTTGGTTCAACCCCCAACCGGGTTTGGTTCAACTCGACTCAACTCGACTCTATGCAAAGACTCGACTATGCAAAGACTCGACTCGGTAGGATGTCACACCAGCAGTCAAATTAAACATAGAATAAGAGAGAAAGGATATAAGATGGAATGCAAGACAGAAGTAGGAAATATAGTCAAATAAGAACTCTTTGAATATATTCGAAATTCTATCCGTTTATTTTTATTTTTAATTTCTTTCCCACCTTTTCTTGATTCTCTTATGATACATTTCCTTGGGGATTAATTCTCGAATTCTATAGGATAAGTGAAAAGCTTGACTAGTCAGGCGTATCTGTTGCTTCTTAGAGGTAGGGTATAATCACCCATTAGTCAAAAAAATATGTTTGGTTAGGGGATATTTTTCTGAAATTAACTTGATATGATTCATTCGAAATATAATATAGAGATACTATAATTTGCATGTCACATTGGTTTAACATCCCACAGTACAAATGGAAGCTCCACTGAACCTTAGCTCATGCAAAGAATACTCTTGAAGTTGTCTAAAAATCAATGTCAGATGCTGTAAGGTTGCCAACCTGATAAAAACTAATCACCATGACACGTCAGAGTACTCTTTCCACATGTTAATTTTTTAAAATTATTCTCTCCTCTAAAGTGCTCTCTGATTAGTATAAATAGACACGAGTCTTCTTGTGTTGTCATCCTATTTTGTGGAAGCCATTCTAAGTTGGCTCCAATATGGATTTTGTGTCTGAGATGACAAAATTCCTCACTTTAGTTCTTGTTGCCATAATCTCTGTTGAGACTGTTGCGAGCGCTAGGCACCAGCCATTGGATGGTCAGAAGCAATTTCACTCACTTGAAAATGATCACCTGGTAACTAATTTGCCAGGCCAGCCAGATGTGGACTTTCGGCACTATGCCGGTTATGTTACAGTAAATGAAAAGAATGGAAGGGCACTTTTCTATTGGTTCTATGAGGCCACCACGCACCCTGATGAAAAACCTCTAGTGCTGTGGCTTAATGGAGGTAAGCACATGAACATAATATTTGGATAGCTAACTTCCATACTTTTCCTTTTTGTTGGAACGAAATGAAATAGAGACGGTCTTGATGAACAATCAATGGTAGAACTGCTTTAAAATGTGCCATTAAATTTCTTGTTACCTGAGCAAGAAAATATGAAAAAAAAAAGAAAAAAAAAAAAAAGAAAAAAAAAAAAAAAAAAAAAAAAAAAGAAAGAGAATTCACTAGACTAGACAGTGCTCTATCCCTGTTTTGGTGACCTATCCATTTTGTCCTTCAGATTGATGGAACTGATGGATGTTCGGCAGAACAAATTTGACTGGATTAAAGGTAGGCTTTGAGACCTACTAATATCTCTAGTGGGTAAACTTTGGCCATCAAGAAATTATCCTGAAGGCCATTAAGATTCCAGTACTAATCTTTTGACCATGTTTATTTATTCATTTGCATTTATGTAATCAATGCAGGTTTCTCTCAATGTTTTGATGTTGCCTGTTGGCAAATACCCACACCATATAAAAGAAAATTTCTGTTAATAAACAATTGCATAAAGTTTTTTAAGAATATAATATGATATTTCCGTTTCCTAATTTTCCAGTGGGTTAACCTTTTCCCCTCATTTTCAACTCTTCCTGACAAAATTCTTGTATGGCTTTATTCTGTGTTCTCAAATAAGGTGACATGAGACGCTTCATCTTTCAGGTCCTGGATGCTCTTCTGTGGGATATGGAGCAACACAAGAGATTGGTCCTTTCCTAGTGGACGATGATGGGCGTGGACTTAAATATAATCCCTATTCATGGAATACAGGTATATGAGGGCCCACAACTTTTTAGCACATTTTCGATATTAATATAATCCCTATTCATGGAATACAGGTATATGAGGGCCCACAACTTTTTAGCACATTTTCGATATTACACAATAGAATATCACATGTAGTATTAAATATTATTCCTGCAAGCATAATGCTCCATAATGACCATTAGATTGACTTCTAATTTTATTTATGCCGATAATGACGCAGAGGCCAACATATTATTCTTGGAATCTCCAGTTGGAGTTGGTTTTTCATACTCAAATACAACCACTGATTACAATGGTCTGGGAGATGGTTTCACAGGTGAGTTACATGCTAACTGTTAATTATTTGTTCACAAGTATTATGAATATTTACAGTTTTGCTAGAGCTACGGTTCTATTATGAATGCTTTGGACCATTTCAGAATGAGCAGAAAATCCTAAATCTATTATTTATAACTCCTTGCAGCAAATGATGCTTATGCTTTCCTGCACAAATGGTTTCTCAAATTTCCATCATACAGAACTCGGGCATTTTATATTGCAGGGGAGAGCTATGCAGGTAGTTTGTTGTGACAACACTTTGCTACACTCATCTTGTTTAAATTCCCATCTCATGCTAATATTACTTTTAACATGCATTAATAGGAAAATACATTCCAGAGCTTGCTGAACTGATACATGATAAGAACAAGGATTCTTTGCTTCACATTGATCTCAGGGGTATTCTGGTAAGGTCCTTGGTATAGATTTGGAAAAATCTCTTCACATTGATCTCAGGGGTATTCTGGTAAGGTCCTTGGTATAGATTTGGAAAAATCTTATGCATAACCATAATGGATCCCATTTCTCAATAAAAATTAACTAAGAACCTCGTTTTGGTCAAGTACAGCTGGGTAATCCTGAAACAAGTTATGCTGAGGACTGGGTAGGTCTCGTGGATTATGCTTGGAGCCATGCTGTCATATCAGATGAAACCTATAAGATCATAAAACAAAGCTGCGACTTTAATAGTGATGATCCATGGAGTAATGGTGATTGTGATCAAGCTATTAATGAATTATTTAGACAGTACAAGGAGATAGATATTTTCAGCATCTACACCCCAGTTTGCATTAGTGGTTCAGCAAATTCAGATGACAAATATATGCAAGTCATGTTTAAGCGTTCATCTACGACTACAATGGTGAGTGATAATTATCAGAATCAATACTGCAGATGATGACCGTTCATGATTATTTAATTATCAGGCAATAGCTATAACGATGAAAGCATCCTTAATATGCATTAAATGATTAAAAGAAATTTATTTATCAGATACCAAGGATTATGGGTGGTTATGATCCATGTCTGGATGATTACACGCGATCTTTCTATAATAGACCTGATGTTCAAAAGGCCCTCCATGTCGGTGATGGTCACTGGTCCAAAAACTGGAGCATCTGCAAGTAATGCAACTCTCTCTCTCTCTCTCTCTCTCTCTCTCTCTCACACGCGCGCGCACACACACAGTCTTCACTTCTTTGTAATAGTTGCAACACTACAGAATAATCTGCACAAATTTGACATGCTTCCTTGGGTTCAGTCATAAGATATTCGATGAGTGGTCAGATTCAAGGCGATCAGTTCTTCCTATATACAAGAAGCTGATTGCAGCTGGACTAAGAATATGGGTCTACAGGTCTGTGTTCCCTGCCTTGAGTAATTAGCTTGTAGATATTCTGCCCTTATTCTCATGATATTTCATTTCTCCTTGGCTCAGCGGCGATACAGACGGAAGAGTTCCTGTACTGTCCACAAGATACAGCTTAGCTTCTTTGGGACTGCCCATCACTAAAGCATGGAGGCCCTGGTACCACCAGAAGCAGGTGATTAACTGATTATCAACTGGAATTGAACATTAAACAAGTTATCCTAAAGTTGGTCTAACGAAGTTGGCTTACTGTTTCCATCAGGTCAGTGGTTGGTATCAAGAATATGAGGGGCTTATGTATGCAACATTTAGAGGAGCTGGGCATGCTGTGCCTAGTTTCAAACCGAGTGAATCACTGGCATTCTTCTCTGCCTATCTTCAAGGCAAATCTCCACCTTCTTCGCGATGAATTACCGATGCTGCAAAAGTAATGGCTGGCTATACTAGGTTATTGTATTTAATAGCAGAAAATAGTGAAGAAATAGTAAAAATAATGTGTGTTTGCTGTTGTTTCTAGACAATCAGAAGAATGTTCTATTTAGATCTTGTCTTTGTAAACGGAGCAAGCTCCTCACCAACTAAACATTAAACAAATGGATAGTTGGATACTCTGTTATCCTTTCGTGATCAAAAGTATTAGTCATTGAAGTTCTGCACTTGGTAGTATTTTTTGGACTGGACATGGACATTAAGATAAAGCAAATCACTATCTGACTTGACAGCATTTGATAAAATGAACATTACATACTTGTGTAATGTTACATTAAAATTTTATCAATATTTTATGATAATATTCACAGGTAATCTAGAACTCAAAACTATAGTATTCTCTGGTGCAAACCTTAGTCTTTTATTATCAAAACTATTTTGATTACATAAATTTGTTCATTTCACTATAAGTTAATGAATTAAGTAAATTAATAAATTAATTTTTAATGACATCTTAAAATTGTATATTACATTTGTATCATACTTTATTTTTTTTTTGTTAAACTATCAAATATTTTTATTAGTATCCTAATATTCCTACTCATTAGCAGTTCTAACTTCAATACAGTTAGGAATATTCAAAGTGAATCAGGAATTGTAATATCATTATTATGAAAATGAAGGGTATATTGGGTTCATAATATAATCCTTATTTATGGATTTTCATTATACTTCTTATTTGTAATATAAATTATTCTAATGGAATGCTTCATATTATTATATTATAAATGAAAAATAAATAAATAATATAAATTATTTTTAAAAATATTCAATTACGAGTACTGAAACGAATATAAACAAGGTGCAATGAATATTTTAAAAAAAAAAAAGTACATTTCAAACTATTAAAATGCACTAAAATGTCAGTTTTACATAGTTTAGTTTGATTAATATTTAATAAACCTTTTTCAACATAATTTAGTTTGATTTCTATTTGATCAAACCATTTAGAACCGAATCAAACGGCTTACTTAAAAAGTTGCAATAATGTATAGTTTGTTATCTAGGAATATGTAATCTTTGCTATTAGTTTCATGGCAAGTTGATTTTTAATAATTAAAAGATCCTTTCATCAATGGTTTGGATTCGTTTGAAAAATTTTCAAGTTGCAATCTATAGTTTAGTTTGAAAAATCTATAATTAAGATAATTATGGAACTATATTAAAAGATAATAGCAGAAGTTAGTAAATACTAGTATCCTTAACAATAATACGGTAATCAAGACAAAAATAGGAGTATAGTCAATTAAAGATCTCTTAGAAAATTTTCCAAGTTCTATCCATGTGTTTTTTTTTTTTTTTTTTTTTTTTCTTGTCTTGATGGCCTAACCATCAACAAATTACTGCAACTGTATGTAATAACTAAAAATGGTAAGGCCTACGTGTTGATTCTAGAATTACCTTATTATCTCCAACGAATCAATAAATACATTGATTCTAGACATATAGCATTTTTTTTCCCCTGAAAATAACTTGATATGAGTCATTGCAAGTATAAATAGACATGCGAGTCTTTGTTAGAGAATTGAGTTGTTTTTTTAAATTAAATTACGTTTTTGCTTTATTAGTTAAATAAAAGCATTATAACTTTTAAAAACTAAATGTATAATTTTAGTTTTATGTTTTTAAAATATGAACATATACATTGTGTTGCATTGGTGATTGGTTAAAATTAATTTGTGATAAGGATACAACTTTTATTTTTTCTTATTTTTTTGTATAAATTGCGTACTCCTGGTTATACTGAACTTGTTCTCTTTGTTTCTCTATTTCTGGATTTTTATCTATTGGGTTTTTTTTTTCCTGATTTCTAACAGTCTTCTTGTTTCGTGGAAGCCATTTTTAAGTTGGCTCTTTGTTTCCAATATGGATTTTGTGTCTCAGATGACAATTTTCCTAATATTGGTTCTTGTTGCCGTGAACTCTGTTGAGAGTGTTGTGAGTGCTAGGGACCAGCCATTGGTTGGTCAGAAGCAATTGAACCCACTTGACAACGATCATCTGGTAACTAATTTGCCAGGCCAGCCAGCAGGTGTGAACTTTAGCCACTACGCCGGTTATGTTACAGTAAATGAAAAGAACGGAAGGGCACTGTTTTATTGGTTCTTCGAGGCCACTACACGCCCTGATGAAAAACCTCTGATGCTGTGGCTTAATGGAGGTAAGTATATAATATACATGAAATTTCCATTTCTTAATTTTTCCAGTGGGATCATTTTCAACTCTTCCTGACAGAGACAGTTCTTGTATGGCTTATATTCTATGTTCTCAAATAAGGTGACAAGACGTTTCATCTTTCAGGTCCTGGATCCTCTTCTGTGGGATATGGACCAACACAAGAGATTGGCCCTTTCCTAGTGGACAGTGATGGACTTAAATATAATCCCTATTCATGGAATACAGGTACATGAGGGTCCACAATTTTAGCACATTATCCGATAATCACATGATAGAATATGACATGTGATGTTATGCCTGCAAGCACAACAGTCCACAGTGATTAAAAGATTGACTTGTAAATTATTTATGCCTATAATGACGCAGAGGCCAACATTTTATTCCTGGAATCTCCGGTTGGTGTTGGTTTTTCATACTCAAACACAACTACCGATTACAATCTTCTTGGGGATGATTTCACAGGAGAGTTACATATTATTAATTCACAAGTTTTTATGTAAGGATGTTTTGAACCATTTCAGAATGAGCAGAAATGATTCTTTGTAAATCCTGAATCAATTATTTATTTATAACTTTGTAGCAAATGATTCTTACGCTTTCCTGCATAAGTGGTTTGTCAAATTTTCATCATACAGAAATCGGACACTTTATATTGCAGGGGAGAGCTATGCAGGTATTTTGCAATTGTAACATTTGCTATGCTCATCTCGTTTAAACTCCCATCTTATGCTAATATTACTTTTAACATGCATTAACAGGAAAATACATTCCAGAGCTTGCTCAGCTGATACAAGACAATAACAAGGATCCATCGCTTCACATTGATCTCAGGGGTATTCTGGTATGGTCCTTGATATAGATTTGGAAAAATTTTATGCATAACCAAAATGGATCCTATTCTGAACATAAGTAAAGTAAGAACCTCGTTTTGGACAAGTACAGATGGGTAATCCTGAAACAAGTGATCCTGAGGACTGGGCAGGTATCGTGGATTATGCTTGGAGCCATGCTATCATATCAGATGAAACCCATAAGATAATAAAACAAAGCTGCGACTTTTACAATAATGATACATGGAGCAATCGTGATTGTTCGCAATCTGTTGACGAAATATTTAAACAGTACAATGAGATAGATATTTATAGTCTCTACAGCCCAACTTGCACTCGTAATTCGGCAAGTTCAGACGTCAAACATATGCAAGTCTCCTTTAAGCGTACATCTAAGAGTAAAATGGTGAGTGATCATTATCAGAATCTACACTGAAGATCGATGATGATCGTTCATGATGGTTTGAATGATTAAAAGAAATTTATTTATCAGATGCCAAGGTTTATGGGTGGTTATGATCCATGTCTGGATGATTATGCGCGATCTTTCTACAACAGACCTGATGTTCAAAAGGCCCTACATTGCGGTGATGGTCACTTGCTCAAGAACTGGAGCATCTGCAAGTAATGCAACCCTTTCTCTCTCACAGTCTCTGCTTCTTTGTAATAGTTGCAACTCTACAGAATAATGAAAAATTTGACATGCTTTGTTGGATTCAGTGATACGATATTCAAAGAGTGGAAAGATTCAAAGCCTTCAGTTCTTCCTATATACAAGAAGCTGATTGCAGCTGGAATAAGAATATGGGTCTACAGGTCTATGTTCCTGCCTTAAATAATCAGCTTGTAGCGATTATTCTGCCTTATTCTCATGATATTTCATTTCTGGTTGGCTCAGTGGAGATACTGATGGAAGAGTTCCTGTACTGTCCACAAGATACAGCATAGCTTCTTTGGGACTGAACGTCACTAAAGCATGGAGGCCCTGGTACCACCAGAAGCAGGTCATTAACTGATTAGCAACTGAATTGAACATTTAACAAGTTATCCTCAAGTTGGTCTAACAAAGCTGGATTACTGTTTTAATCAGGTCGGTGGTTGGTATCAAGAATACGAGGGGCTTACGTTTGCAACATTTAGAGGAGCTGGGCATGATGTGCCTACCTTCCAACCGAGTAAATCATTAGCATTCTTCTCTGCCTATATTCAAGGCAAATCTCCACCCTCTTCGCGAAATGAGACTGTCCTCGTGTGAAAATATATTACCCAACATTGGATACATCATCTGTTTGTTTCGTAAAATAGTAAAATAACTCGTTAATAAATATTTTCATGGAAAACATTTTCCGTGAAAAATATTTTCTAAATGATTTATTTTCCGTTGTTTGGTTGTAATATTGAAAATTAATTAAAAATATTAAAGTCTTTATCTCGTAAAACTATAAAAAATATTAATAATAATAGTAAAACTATTAAAATATATTAAGAAAATATGGAAAATTATATTAATTATAAAATTTTATGTTAAATAATGAAATAGAATTTGATAAAAAAATATTTAAAATTATGAAAGCAGCGTGGGGGCCGGCTCGGTGTAAATGTATACTAGTGTAAATATTAATAATAATAGAAATTATATAATATAAAAATTTTATTGTTAAATATGAAAAGAATGAAAAAAAATATAAAATTATGAAAGCAGCAGGTGGCCGGTGCTCGGTGGTAAATGGTAACTAGTGGTAATAATCATGACGATTAATAAATTAATAAATTATAAAGTTTGCCAATGTCCGAAAAATATTTTACTCTCTAAAAAATGGAAGTTGTTTTTCTTAAAAAATGACTTAATTTTCTTTTGACTAGAAAAATATTTTTCATTGACTTATTTTTCTGAACGCCCCAAACAACGAAAAATTATAAAAAATATTTTCATGCAAGTTATTTTACTGAAACAAACGAAATCTAATTATTAGCTATTTACATAATAGTCATTTGTAATAGTATGTTTTAAGAGCTATAGAAGAGCATATTTATCTTTAAATTTCATAAATTATGTCCAAGTATCAAATAATTTTAGTGAAATAAATTAATATAAAAGTTTTGGTTATATTTAATTAATTTTCATTTTCGAAAACAACGTTATCTTATAATTCAATTGTTTCAAAATTCAAAGTCTAAGACGAAAGCCCATCAAAGACAACAATGCAATTTTTTAATTTTTTTGTTAAGTTTGGGCCCTGGCCCCCAAATAAGGTCTACCCATGAGTGATGCCCATACCGATTAATCGCGGATGAGTTTGTCGTAGGCTTAGACTTGTCTATGCTTATTATATAACTGGATCAAATAAGTAAAAATAAATTTTTTAAAAATATTATTTTCATTAAATTAAAGTAAAATTGACTTGCTTAGATATACTCTATTGGCATACAATAAACCAATTAATTCAAAATATTTTTTTTTGTTGAAATATGAGTATTTTTTATTAATCATTAGATTAAAAAAAAAAAAAAGAATAAAGTGGGAAGAATTTTTAAAAAATTTCTATTTTGATTGATTTGGTCTATGAATGGACTCATAAATGGGGTCTATGCAAGTCCAATCCAATTAAAATCAAAATCTCCCATCATTATTGTCTACCAATGATCCAGAATTAGGAGAAGCACTTTGTCTTCTGAGGCATTAAGCTGGTTGAAAAGCCATGGTTATTCATTCAGCAATTATAGAAGCACTTTCTCTTTTTTCGGCTTAGTGGTTTTAGACCGCAAGTCTGTGTTGAATGGACTTGGGGGCAAATTTTCTTCGCTTTGCATAAGATTTTAATCATTGTGTAACACATTATCTCTTCTTAATTTCTCTGTTGACTTGGAATTTTGTGAGTCTAGTCAAAGATAGGTTGATACGAAAGTATTTCTGTTATTCCACCATTATTGAAATACAATGGAAAATTCCTGAATTGCACTATCTTACAGGCTATACCTTTATTCTTCTATTTACATTATGCATTGACTTGCGAAATTTGTTAAAGGAATAGACAATTTGGAGTTCAATGCCACAGGCGCCTTGATGGATTGATTTCTTGAACCGGGGAAAGCAACAGGTTTAGCAGAATAGTTAATGGTGTAATTCTTGAAACGGTGACCAAATTGATAGTTGACAACTATTTGACGATGTCTTTTTCCAGATTGAGCAGAATGCAGAGGTGATGGAGGCAGGAAGGGCCTAAGTTCTTGAGGAAAAAGCTTTAAGGGTTTTGTTGCATCCGCTTCCACTGGGAGATATATTGCCTTTTGAATGTCCTGAAGCATGTCTGTGCTAGAGTCGTATCGATTGCTAGAATCGAAGAACATTTGAAATACTTTGAGACATGATAAATGCAGATGCCTGCTTTCTTTGGATAAATCATTAAATCCATCCATTAAAACATGCTCTATGAACTCCCTTTTCTTTTCATCGACCATTTCTTTGACATAGGTTATTGAATCCTCAATTTCTGCTTTCATATTCTTTTCCATGTGTAGCAGAACAAAGTTTTGTTTTCCTTCTTTCTGTTCCTTCTGTGGTTGAACAAAGGTATTAATTACACATGAAGATTTTTTTTAAAAAAAAATCAAAGATTCAGAATAACTCGAGCAAATATAAGGAAATAAATGTTAAATTTACCTCATAACTTTGCATATCATTCAACAAACGAGGGATAATCATTAGCAGTTTAGTAACGTTCTCATATTTTTCTGGCTTGAGTTTATGTTTTGGCAAACTTGGACTCAGAAAACATGAAGCTGGAAGAACTAAGGTGTGTGTAGCAATAGATGTCATTCCAGTTTTAAGATACTCCTCTTCTGTTGGTCTAAATCCACTTCTACTCCACTTAGCTTCCATAAACCAAGCACTGAATGTCTCATGCCACTAAAATATATACAAGAAATTAGAACAATTTATTAGAATTAATCGACAGAGCTTCCAAGAACAAAACCGACAATATAACAAGTAATCCTCAAATCCTTACTATATATTGAAGACTGTTTGTTATATCAGTTCCTTCTCGTTGAAAGTGTGTTGCTGCCATCTCTTTTACAAGATCATCAAGAACATTAAAGATAGTCTTACCAGGGCCATTTAAGCCTATAGCATCCCATCTGTCAAATTCATCAAAAAAAGTTTACAGGATGTAATTGAATATTAATCTGATAAGCTTTTTTCAGGTTTCTGTCACTGGATCCATTATTATACCTTTGAATTGCATCGGTGAGTTTTTCCAAGTCATATAGAGAACCTTCCATGTCATAAAAATCATCAGCAACGGTGATAAGTATTGCACTCTTAGCAACAATCATTCTTACATGAGAATCCTGAGGCAGTGAAGTACTAGCAGCCACTGCAAAGTAACAATATGTAGTTTTCTCTCTACCAAATCCCATATCAGTGAGACCCCAGTCCTTGGACCACCTGTCCCATTAAACCAATAAATAAATAATTATCTTTGACATTTACACTATATTTGGGAGAGAGAGGAAGGAAAATAAGGGAGAAAAATACTATTTATTTTCCTCCCTTATTTTCAACTCTATGTTTGAATTGGAAGGAAAATGAAAGGGTTATTTTCCTTCGTTATTTTCCACTCTATTTATATAACTATTAATAACTAATTTTATTGCTTAAACATTTTTTATATTTACCTTTTTAGTTCCTCCAATTCTTTCATGTAAATTGACTGGCGATACTCGAAGTTTTGTGTTGCAAGTTGCATTAGCTTGTCATTGTAAAGGCTTGACAACCTGATGTCAAAAAGCTCTTCTGTTAGCTGATGTAAATTTACTGAATTTTATTTGTCTTTTGTCTTGTTTTCCCTTCTTGGTGTGAGTAACTACGGAATTTTATACCATGAAGTTAATTGTATACCTGAGAAAGGAGGCTTTTCCCATCCATAAAGCGGTGACGTTCTTTTCTTCAATCCACATTCTGTTCTCCAGGTGATCAAGTCGAGCCAGCCATGGAAACTTCAACTCATTCTTGATCTGTGTGGTATTGTACCAGAGAAGAAAAAAAACAAAAAGTTAGAATTAATAGCAACTCATAATTAATTACATTGTCAAGAAACCGTTTTTTCAGTCCTCTCGATTCTGAAAGAGCAGAAAAAAGTGGGCAGACTTTCAAAAGAACTATTCTGATGTCATTTGTCTGTTTCCTGGCATTGACTTACTGAGTCAATTTATTAACTTTCAAAAACTTTGAAAATTAATTGATTCTGAGGTAATGGATGGATTTCAATTTGTCGTGTAGTGGGATAGAGAAATTACCACTGCATGGAAATTTGGGAAAGGGTAGTTAACTTTGTTATGGTCATTAGTATCCATTGGAATGCTTTTCTCAAGTAATTTCCTTGAAAAAGACTTTGCTTCTTCAACTTCATATTCTCCAGAAAACATAAGATCAGTTGCTTTGTGAACATTGAGCATTACACTTGAGAACAATTCATGGTTGTTTCGGATATGATCTTTAATGTCTTCATCAAGTAAAAACCAACAGAACATCCCTGAAAAACCCATTAATTATAATTAAGTTATCTAGTTAATATTAAATCATAATTAGTGGGTCAAGAATTCATACGTGGTGATACATTATATCCATACATCCGCAGAAGCCAAAATGCTAGAGAGTCTTTGTATAAATTTGGTGCAACTAAATTGGTTGGTTTTGCATGTGGTTCTTGATTCATGTAATTCCTGATACAATTAAATAAATAAAAAAAGGACTAGGTGTTAATAAGTAATGTAAGAGGGGGGCATAATCATATAATTAAATAATATGTTATTGTTCAATTGGTTTAATTTATAATAATTACCTATAAACATGTTCCAATACTTGTTCAATCTCTCGATTAAAATGCTCAGCCAAACCGAGCCTATGTAATTGGTTGATCATGCAAAGCTTTATCAGGTCTTCATCCATTGGATATGTCGATGGAACTGTCTCGCAAGAAAATTAATTAATCTCTTTTGAGTAACTAAAAAAAAAAAAAAAATATTGTTTCACGTACAATATAACTAAAAAGAAAAAGAAATATTAGAAGAAACAAATTTCTAACCCCCATTGGGAAATCTTTGAACAAGAGATTGCAAGTAATTTAAACAATGTTTATTTCCAGTCGCCATGAAAGCACGTGCTGTAGCAGAAGGGGATTGGAATAATGAACCATCAGTATCCAAATGCTTAATCACATCTTCTTGATCAATACTGTACAGAGGCAAGGCTTCAAGATAAGCTAATAACGGAGGATAATGGTCCTTGTCCACAAGTTTTTCCCTATTACGAAAAAGAATTAACTAATTATATAGTTAACGTGCAAAAGCATGTCACTTCATTGACCAAGAAGTTAAAAGCATACCAAATTTCAAACATCAACGAGACTTTCATTCAAAAATGTGTACCTTTCTAGAATTTCTTGCCTTCTGTAGAAGGTGTCCATTACTCGCCCTTTCAGCTTGTCAGGGATGATAATCTTCAATCCATTTGTACGTGCAAGCTCAAGCATTGCAGGGAAAATGATGGCAAACCAGCGTGGACAAGTTTCATATACGTCTTCAATAAGCTTATCTGCGTTTGACTGAATGAATGCCGTACCTGATGAGATAACCAAACAAATTAATATCAATTAGGCCATTAATCAAGCTGTAAGGATTTTGTAAAAATAATAAATCAATTCGAAAGGTTTTTGTTTATTATTCTTGGGAAATTCAATGAATTGAGAAATTATTATAAGTCGCACAGGTACTCGTTCTGTTATAAGTTAGCCGGTGATAATCTTTGGATAGAATTAAAATCGAAATCTTCCATTTTTCCTATTCTCTACGAGATATAAGAAGGTGAATAATTCTAAAGATTGATATGACTAGGAATAGGTTTTGCTTCCTTTATCGTTATCAAAGTCATTGTGCAATTTTCATTCTGCAAAAATTTACTTTAGCATGTATGAATTTTCTTATTATTTGAAAATCATGTCCACTATGACTAGTGAATCAACTCATGACGGAAGAAAAGTTGAAAACAATTTTAGGCTATTTAAAAAACATTATTTTTCACTCATTTCTAAATTTCTTCATGAGCTCAATTTAAATTTTGACCCGCCGAATTTATAAAAATGTAAGAATTTCAAGTAATTCATTATATCAACCCCACTAAAATTTTTTATTTAGCTCCGCTAAAAATTTAATTTTGTTTCACTGAAATTGTATTTATTTTGATTATTGAGTCTATATTTTTAAATTGTGTATCATCACACCCATCAATTTTTTATTTTTAAATATTCACCAATTATTCTAAAAAAGTTGATATGAAATTCATTAATAACAATTTGAAATACTAAAAAAATGCATTGATTGGCAAAATATTCAATTTTCTTTAGCTACTTTTTAGTATTTTATCCTAACAAGTTAACATCCTGGCTCTTCTATTATATTTAAAATATTAGAATGATTTTGTAAATGGAAAAAATGGTTTTTAACTGGTTTCGTATATGAATAGACCCATACATAAGAGTGTAGGTTAATTTTTCCCATAAAATATATATTTAATTTCCTTATTTATAAAATAACAGTACTATATATTTTCTAGATGGATGTATTTATTGTTTTTACCTTTATCTATCATGGTTTCCTCAAGATTCCACCTTTTAAGGGCAACCAAGCAAGCAATAGTTGAAGGAAGGCACTCAATAGTAGGCATGCCACAGCTATCACAGTCTCCCCAAAACCCATCTTGTTTCTGATTTTTGAGAACCCAATCCAAGCAATTCTTGAACATGGGTTGCGATGGGTCACAAGTATCAGGAACCATGGCTAGCCATGCAGTGTCATAAGCAGAACTAGCAATAAGGGCATAGGGATCGATGTCTGAGAACACCTCTTCCTTAACTTTTTGAACCAAATCTTTAATGGAGAAATACGAAGAAGACTCCATAATATTTTAAAAAAAGAAAGGAAGGAGAATTAGATATATTGGTTAAGCCCTAACGAAGAAGAAACGTTTATGTGTTCATATAAATAAATTTCTTGAATGGAAAGTGTTATCCATCTCCATAGAAAGTCTTCTTGCACTAAGTGCTTTCCTCATTTGATGGGGATGGCACAATGGCTATTGACCGTAGTCCATACAATAGTCATCGTTTTCATACTTGTGCTTTCAAATACTAGATTATTTTCTACCGATTAATATATGAAAGTTGGGATGAATATAAATAAACTGGGTCTTTAGATAAATTTTATCTGAAAAGTTAATAATTTAATATTTAACAGGCTTTAAACTAATATCACTCGGGTCAGTCTGAACATGGATATATGTATATTAACAAATAAAAAAAATTATTTTTTGACAAATAATAATAAGTTTTATTCTTGTATTTTTTTTTTTTTTGATTTCCTGCTAATTAAACACTGGTCAATGAATTTAATTAAAAAAAACTAACTATAAGAAAAAAAAAAAAGCTAAAAACGGTTCTGAAGACTCGTGTGTGAAAAAAATTAATTTTAAATTTTCCTCTTCCTTTCTTGTTTTCTTTTACGGAAAAAAAAAAATAGGAATAACCGCAGCAGAAGTCAACAGAGGAGTACACGAGGAAAATGAGAAAAAGATAAGAGAGAGAATTCAAGAAACATGTGTTCATTAAATATATGTTGTTTAACGTGTGATTTCATCAAATACGCATCTGTTTTGAATGTAAAAGATTGGTCAAAGTTTTTGATAAATTCGAATTTGGTGTATTAAAATATATTTAGAATCTAACTCAATTCAGGCTTAAAAATTTTAAGTTCAAGTTCAGATCATTTATAAAAAAAAAAATAATAACTCATTTATATGTTCAAATTTAAACTCGAATTTGACTCATCAACTTATTAATTAAATAAGCTCATCGAATGAGTTTAAATGTATTTTTTAATATATTTTTTCCAAGTCGGAGCTTTAACTAGCTTATGAGTAGCTTATGAATGAATTGACTAATTAATTTACAATTTAAGAAATTATATTATATAATATATAATATCTAATCACCAATTTTCTCAATTACAGATGAAAAAACTCAACTATCGCATTCCTATAATTTATTTTGATTGGCTGCATATACCAAATTTTATGATTCACGTTTCACGATCGTGATTGTTCCTGCTTTGACAACTGCATTATGCATCAAGAAGACAAGCTGCATGGCATTCCTGAAAGAGAGTTTTCTGTCCGGAATTAGTAGATTCATGGTGCAAGTTATGTATATATATGCATGTTTCACGATGAATAGATTCTTACCCGACAAGTTGGAGGTAGTCATGTGGCTAAGATTTGTTTCTCAGCTGGTGAAGGGCCCAGAAACATGAAATCTTAATTCATTAGAAACATGAAATCTTAATTCATTGCAATTTGTGGTTAGATGTTGTTTCTCCATGTGAAGTGATGGAGGATGTTGATGTTGGCCGCAGACCTCATCTCATGAAACACGACTTGTCGTCATCATTATTATTATTTCAACCCTAAACTCTAAACCCTAATAACAAAAGTTTTAAAATTTAAAAAAAAGTATAGCACTATACTAGTAATAATTATTGTTGTAATTTGCTCATTGTATGCACTCATTATTTGATTTATATTATATTTAGTTTTATATTTTATATTTTAATTAATTAATTAATTTAAACATAATTTATTTTTAACATTAAAAAAAAAAAAAAACATTGACTACCGTTTCGGTCTTTGATTTTTTTAATTGACCTATACCATGATGCTTGTACTTCCCTTTAGGGATTATCATGAACTGTTTGGCCACTAAAAACTTCAATGATATTCTGTTATTGGTTTTTTTTTTTTATCATACAATCAAATATCGTTATTATTAAAAAATTTAACGAGTTTCTGAGATCTTTTGTTTTTTCAGTCCGTTCATGCAAATATTTTAGATCCGAGGGTCACAGATATATCCTTCTTGTTGATTAGAAATCCTAACTGCAACAATTAGATTAGCCGTGCGGTTATTAGGGCCTAAAGTCAGCCCAATTCAAACTTGTTAAAATTCGAAAGCTAGCCCAGTACATTGGGCTAAAGTTCGATCTGAATTTTCACAACTGGCCCACATAATTGGTTAAATTTGGTCCCATAAATTTGGGCCTTAAATTTCACTCTAAGCCCAAACAATTTGGGCCTCGATTTTCTTAATGGGCCCACAAGTTGGGCCTGAATTTCTTAATGGTTAGATTTCCTTAATGTGCTATTAAAGTTCTTGTCGCACTCCTTTTTCAGAAAGATTCGGCGCCGCTCACTCATTTGCCCCGGATTTCTTATATAGGCCAAAAGGAGCCCAATACAATTGGGCCTTAATTTTCTTAATAGGCGCCCTATAGGCCCAAATGAGCTAAATAAAATTGGGCTGAAATTGGTTTGTATTTTTCTTAGGGGGCCGCGAACTTGTGTTTTCCATTATAAGCTGATAGCGGGCCTATTTAGGCCTGAAGTTAGCGCAAACTCAAGATTACGAACTCCTAAAGATCCGGCCTCGATCGCCAGACTTCTCTACCTGTGTGTGAATGGGCAGCCGTCAAACTAAACTCTTACCCAGGCCCAAATTTAAAGCCTTAGTATCCGTGTGAGGCCAAAGCCCATCTTTATGCATCAAGGTTTTTTTTTTTTTTTTGTCTAAAAGTAGAAATGATAATTATTGACTAAAAGGATAATTATAAAATGGGTTTAGTGTAAAATGATCTGGGAGTTTCTAGAGGGAAGGTTCCTAGAAGAGAGAAGAGATGATGAAATTGATATATGATGTTATTTAATTCCAATATTAAGCAGAAATGGTCAAGTATCCATAGAAAGACTTTTTGTTATTTTACCCAAGAAAGGAAACTTAATTAGAGGGCTTAATTAAATTGGAACTATCAAGATGTGATTCCTTTGGATGGATGGTATTTATGGTCCTATAGTCAACTAGCCACACCATTTCTGAGGTAGCCTTCGTTGTCATGATTTGTGACCTTTTGCTCACAATATATGCTTTTTTAGGTTTTTTTTATCTTTGACAGCTGATAATGACACCTTCTTCCCTCTAATTACATATTTTGATTTACATTTTAGTTTTAAAAATATTAATTGCATGACAATGAATAAATAATTAAATAGAAGGTAGATTACTTGGCTATTGCTTGAAACAATTGTAATTAAATGTAAGGAATTTAAAAAAAAAAAAAGAATATATTACTAATTAATAAAAATAAAGAAAAGACATGTAAAAGATTTGAATTTGAGCAGTGAAGATTATATTTGAAAGGCAAGTCGTGCTTATGTAGGTCAATAATAAAACGGCAAGTTTTGATTGGATTGGAGAAGAGCAATAAGATAAAAATACAGGAAATGGATATTTAGTGGAGGTCTCATGAACCAATGCTATAACGATACGACATACCATGAAACAACATTCTACTGTGTGCTGAAAGCCTCCCTTGTTTAACATGTTGTAATCAACATTATTATGATATCATATCATGTTTCGTCAGTGGAAATTATTTTTTTATACTCCAATTTTTTTTTTATTTTTTTTAAACCATAACCTACATGTGTGTTAATTTCTCACTCTTCAACATGTAAATAAAAAAAAACAAAAGGAAATGTACTAAATTAAGGAGAATAGAAAGAGAAAGTTATGTAGCGATGCAAACAAGAAAATTAGGTACCTGATTCTTTGTCATTGGAATGAATTAATCATCCTCAAGCAACATTGCATATGGCTTGCAAGTTTGTTATTAACATTAAATGGACAGCCACATGTTAAATTCATCATCATTATCATAAATATTAATTAAAGAAAATTAAAACTATCATCAACTGGACGTGAGCCTTTCAAATAACAACACAATAATCCTGTTCTGTAATTCTTTAAAATAAAAAAAGAAAAAGCATATTAATTATTATAATCTCTCTTTCAAAAAGTCTAATATTATTAACATATATACCTCTTTGTTCTGCTTCTTCATCCTTCTGATCTCATTATATGTAGTGATATATAGATATATTATGTATACAGATGCAATTGGGTTATTGTTGAAAGAAAACAGAAAGTAATGATATAGCGAATTAAGATCTCACCTGTATGATGATTAATTACTTACACTGAAATTTAACTAAAATCTTGAAACACAATTGCCTGGTCTAAAAATTTAGACAAGAAATGGGAATTTCTTGATTTTGTTTATCCTGCCTCAAGCACTGCACATGCATATGTATTATATATATAATGTGTGTATACGTATATATGTATGTATACGATGAAATGAAGCCGTAATATTATATATAGTATTATAAATTACGAGTTCCAGTTCATGCTAGGAAGCTGAAACTGTTGTCTCAAAACGCCATCACCAAGTGAGCCAAGAAAAGTATTGGGATGAAATGGTGCAGTCTGCGGAATCTGACTGAGTAAAGAAACAAAAGAGCTGTTATCTTCAGTGGCAGTGCTACAGCTGTTATTAAGATCGCCGTGAAAACGCTTCCCAGATGAAGAACCGCCACCCGCCATGGATGATCCAGTTTCATTACTCCAGTACTGAGATGGTAGTATCCGTTTTACTGGAATACTAGAATTAGCATCACAATTAGTTGAACCAGAAGCAGACGCCATGGATATATGTGGCTTGGGGCTTGAAGAAGGTGCCAACTGATGATGATGATGATGATGAGAAATGGAACTGTTTTGCATGCCATCACCTCCACCTGTCAATATCCCTTCAAAAAAGTTCTCTTCATTTTCAAGTACTGAGGCATAGCTATTTGTAGGTTTTGAAGGTGGTTTTGGATGTATTGGCAATACATGTGTAGCATTAGCAAACAGCCCTTCCATTGAATCCTCTTTGTCTCTCTCCATAGGTCTTTGCGAGTTGTTTTTCTTGTAAATCCGGCATAAAACCCAATCATCAAGCTATATATATAATTCAAAAATTAAGAAAGCAGTAATTAAAAGAACATATACAAGAAACTAAATTAATTATCAGAAAACATACCCTCAAAGAACCTTTCTTGTTAGCAGAATCAATACCAGGCGGTTTTGAACTAGAGTTATTGTTATTGTCTACAAGGCGATATTCATGCATAATCCAATTGGTTTTAATCCCTTTTGGGGGCTTACCACCATAAAAAACCAGTGCTTTCTTCACACCAACCTTTTGAGCTCCATTAGATGTTAATATAGGCTTATCGGTTCCAGTCGCTTTCCAATACCCTGAAGTTGCCGCTCTGTTAGGCCTAGCTCCGTTGGGATATTTCCGGTCTCTTGGACTGAAAAAATACCACTCTTGCTCTCCAAACGTAGCCTTACCTAAAGAGTAATTAAAATCAGCAATTCATTAATTAACAGTCAATTGTATATATAAAATCAGTCATTTTTAATTGGAACAAACAAATACAATTCGTACTTGGGAGTTCCCATGGATCAAACTTGTAGAGATCAACCTCGGCGATGATGGTAACCGGAAGCGGAGCAGAAGCGGCCTTCTTTTTGAGATAATGAACTACAAGCTCTTCATCGGTGGGGTGGAACCGGAAACCCGGCGGAAGCTGGGGGTGCTGCGACCCGGATGATGAATCGGTACTCTCCATGGTTAGATTCTTGAAGATTAAGTCTTGGAAAGCTTGTAGGATTGAAGAAATTGAAATATGGAAAGGATTTTATATATATATACAATATATATGATATTTATTATCATTAATAGGGAGTTATATTTAGGGAGTGGTGTGGTGGCAGAGAGAGGCAGTTAGGTACTTCAGAGAAAGTTGCCAAATGGAGAGCCCGATCATCAGGTGACACGTCGGTTTACTAAAACGATGACGATGCGACACGTGTGAGGAACAGTGGGGACCACAGAAGGGGCAACACACTACACAGAAAAATGAGGGGCGGGCTGATTTTGAGGGTCGGAGGTTTTCAACTGCCTTATACGCTTTTCATGTCATGCTTTTCTTATGTAATAGCCCACACTTCTGTCCAAAATACTCTTTTTTTTTTTTTTTTTTTTCCCTAAATGAGGCGCTTGGAATTTGAGGTCGAGTGTTTTCAATGCCTATATTACGCTTTCTTTCATTGTCTATTGCTTTTGTTTTCTTATGTAATAGCCCACATCTTCTGTCCAAAATACTCTTTATTTTTTTTTTTTTTTTTTTTTTTTTTTTTCCCGAGCGTGTGTATATGTGTGGATTTGCACGTGTGCTGTGTGCACGTGCAACATAAATTTAGAGAACTATTGCGCAATTTAAAAAATAAAAATAAAAATATTTCAAATTAGGGTTCGAAATCTAGAGTCTGTATATTTAGGAAAGCCTTACTGAACATCAATATCCAAATGTAAAAATATATGCACACACTAAATAGAAATTTTTTATTATCAATTTTATTTGGCGTTTATTCACATTTCAAAATATATCTTAATGTTATATTTTTCTTTAAACAAAGTAAAAGAAAATAACTTACCCTTCTTAAAAAACAAAAGAAAAATAAGTTACCTGAAATGTTAGTTTATTTTTAGTTGCTTCCAAAACTTTACAAGGAAAAAAAAAAGATCAATTTAACTAATTAATTACATTTTTTTATATATTTTGTTGAAGATCAGCAAATTAATATAAAGAAAATTAATCAATGTAAAAATATAGGTGCAAATAAAAAAAAACCATTTTTAGTTAATTTAATATATTTTCACACTAAATTATTATTGAACTTTAATAACGTAAGATAAAAGTATTTTAAGCGGGATTTGTAAAATAAATGTATATTGGAAGTATATTAATAAAAGTGATCTAGAAAAGTGATAAAATAATTGATTTTTTCGCACGGAATTGAAATTAATCGATGGTCAAGTTTTTCTAAGCAGTGCAAATCAGATTAGACAAAAGAAAATCACCCAAGGCAATGTCACCTCTTGTCATCCTTGCATTATCGTTCCTAGCGCCCTTTTTGTGTAATGTAAACTTCAACGGCAATCTTAACTCTAGGTTTCCATGCATCTCAAAGGGAAAAAAAAAAAAAAAAAAAAAAAAAAAAAAAAAAAAAAAAAAACACTGGTGGAGTTGGTTAATTCGTATCTAATATGTTGTAATCTAGATAATGCGTCTGTTTTAAGGCTTTTTTTTTTTATTTTCTTTATTTTCATGGAACCGCACGTAAAAAAAAAAAAAAAAAAACACTTGGATTGGTTAATTCTATCTAATATTTTTAATCTAGATAATGCGGTCTTTTTAAGGTTTTTTTTTTTTTTCTTTATTTCATGGAACCACGTAATAGATGTATCTAGTTAACTTTCTTATCTCATGCTCAAGAATAATTTTACAGTAAGGATGAATTCACATGGTAAACGAATCCTTGACAATTCTCACAGGTGTGGTTAATAGTAGAAAGTAATTATAAGCTTAGTCACGAGTCCAATTTGAATTAGAATGAGATTAAAATTAATATGGAAAAAGATGGAATCCAATTTGATTTCTAAGCTTCTCATGTCAATCCAACTGAAATTAATGAGTTGGTCCGATTCTAGTTTTTATCCTTTACAATTTTCAAAATAAAATTTGCTGAAAGAATCTATCCGGAGACAATTTTAATAAATCTACTAAATAAAAAATAAAACACTAAGGCATTGTTTGGAAAGAATAGGAAGAAAAATAATGGAAAAGAGAAAAATATGAAAAATTATAAATTTTTTTCCATGGTTAGGTTCTACCGTTGTGTTTCAATATAACGAAGGAAATAAAATAAATTTATTGTCCTTTATTTAGAAATGATAAAATTTTAAAGGAAAGAAAATATTATTATCTAAAATTGATAATAATATCTTCATTGAATAATTTAAGTATTTGAATAATTTAATAAAAAGAAATGAAAATTTCATATATCTCCATTGTTTTCTTTCCAAATTGAAGAGATTCAAAATACGAGAACAATGAAGGGAAAATAAATGAAATTCTATTACTTCTTTCTATCTTATTTTTCCTTTCTCGAAATAGAGAAAAATTCATTTCTCTTCTTTTAAAGGAGGTCTAAATTCAGTAATAATTGTGAGGCTAAGACTGATTAAGAATGAAATTAACATTGAAATATATTTTTGTATAGGCTGTTGGCTTCATATTCTTTGCCACAGACAAAAGGAGTATGAACTAACATAGCAGCATAGCTGAGTCTAATGCACACCCACTAGATTAAATGTAATGCAAGTTTGAATAGACATCAAATATTATGATGTAAGAAATATTTACATAAATTAATATAAAATCATCAAACAAAATTTTAAAGATGGAAGAATTTCCATCACCTTTCAAACTTTCCTACAAAACCCATATTGGTTTAGCTAACTTCTATGTAAATTAATGTGATGAGGTCAAATATATATTTATTTATGTATGTATGTGGGTGGTCTAAAAGTTGTGTATCATTTTCTTTTAAGGTGGAAAAAACAGCACATACAAAACGTGGGGTATTTTGTTTTCTAAGGTTCTTGACATTTTTCCATTTCCAATATGAAAAATATTTAGTTCACTTGTTTTCCACTTTCCCCTTCCATCTTGTAAATGTCAAAAAATTACTATCTTCCAAAACTAATATTGCATCACACAGTCACTTGTTCTAAGAACCACTTATCCACTTGCTGTTTCTTACAAAATTTCAAACCATAAGTCAGAACCTTCTAGAGATATGTATCCATCTGAAGCGGAGCTTCTACTCATCCCCATCACACACATATATATTTCCAATCTTTTCTAATATTTTTCTTTTAAGTATTGAGCCGAGATATTTGAATTTAGATTTATTGTCAGGTTAAATATGCACTTACTACTAGATTATACATTTCTTTCCTAATATTCATTATTGATTTTGAATGGAAGTTCTTAAATCCTACTTATCTGATAATTCCACTTAATTTTTTAAAGAAAAATTTTAGTGAAAAAATTGAATGGTGGACATGGAAATTGAGAAGAAGATATGGACAGTGATATTGACTAAAGATTTCCAATAGATGAAATCAAGATTAGGGCAAATGGTATAGATTTTATTTTGCAATTACTTAAAAAAGGGGTGTCCTAATATCAACTTGAAAAGAGATGGTGAAGATAGATATGGATAGTAATTTTCCAAAAAGAGTAAAAATATAAATGGGTTTTGGTGTCATTCAAATTGTGTTATGATAAATATCGCCAAATTTTAGGCCACTAAGCTGACAAAGGACTCGCATTTTTGGTGGCTCATTCTTAAAATTCTGTATCACCATACATTTTCATATTTTAAAGCACAAATCCACCTCAACCTCAAATGTCGCCTACACTGCCAAGGGCCTTGTATTTTTCAGTTTCTAGAACAAAAATGATGCACGCTCTTATTGCCTTTAATTACATACAACAATTACGAATTAGGGACTTAAATATGTCAAAATGAAAAAAAAAAAAAAAAAAGGAATTAGGGACGTTAAATATGTCAAAATTGAAATAAAAAAAAAAAAAAAAAAAAAAGGATCAAGTTTGACACTTTTTACAATTTTGGGTAATATTTTTAATAAAATAAAATAGTGGCGAGGAAAGTCCATAGGAAAGGATAGATGTCATTAAAACTGGATTGCACCTTTCATCCTCTAAAAAAATGTTAAATGCCCAACCTCTGGCACTCATAAATAATGGCCTGCTTGCATTATTATTTGACGGTAGGTAAGGTCATCAAATTAACAGGTTGTACATAAAAGGTAGATGGAGGCCCAACAAAACCACAACAAATGGGTTGGAATGCTCATGAGAATGGTTCTATATCATGCCCCATTTCTCACAAGAATGGTTCTATATATATATATATATATATATATATATATATGAATATAAATTTCTTTATCGTCACGAGAAAATAAAAGGATAGAGACCAGAAAAAGGAATAAAGATCGGTTGAAGTTACAGTTGGACAACTTACATAATTTACCCATAATTCCAATAGGCTTTCAGTCTGCAGAATTTTTTTTTTTTTCTGGGTCCTTCCTTTTCCAGAAAATGCTGCGTTAATGGCGCTTCTTCTTGCATTATCTTCTAGGATGGGGGTAAGTATATACATTTTTGCAAGCATGAGGAGCAACATATGCAGTTATTCCATAACGTTCCTCAGTGAAACAATTATGAATGCTGCAATTTAAAAAAAAAAAAAATTTTGAAAAAAAAAAAATGGAAATGAGCATTTTGACCACTATTAGTCCAAAAACTATCTTGAAAGATGTATATAGAGAGATGGAAAAAAAAAAAAAATTGAAAAAAAAAAAAAAGAAATGATTGACCACTATTAGTCCAAAACTATCTTGAAAGAGTTATATAGAGAGATGGAAAATATATTACTATACCATCCACAAGTCTCTAACAATGACAGAACTAGAAGGAGAAAGTCCAACTTCCCTCCATCCCACTGATATAGGAGCTCTTGACCCACTCCTATTCAATAGCACTACCACAACTCTTTTTCTTGAAAGTGGCCCTGCCCATATCTGCATAATAAATATGTTATATGTAGTTTCTGTTTTGTTTTGTTTTGATTCCTGAAGAAAGGGACTCTTTCAACAATTTGCATTTATACCTCTAGAGCTGCCTTTGATCTTATTTTCCTGCCTTGAACTCCTAATGGATCCTGATTAACATCTATTACCTCTTTGTTTCGAAGTATGCTAAGAGTTTGTCTGCTCGCAGATCGAACATCACATCCAATCAGCAGAGGAGCCTATAACAAGAATTTTATGTTTTCAGTTGCAAAATACAGATGAAAAAAGAAATTATCAAAGATTACTATACCCACTTTCATTAAAGCCCAAATACTAAAATGAGAGCGGTACTCCTCTAGGCCCATCCCTCCGTTGCCCACTTCTAACATGTCAGGATCTATTACATATTATCATAAGTATAATTTTAAACTGGATCGTTAAACTATCAATTAATTACCAGTGATTAAAAAAAAGTGATTTGTTACCATTCCACCTGCCAGGTCCTGCATATCTTCCCCAAATGTTGTTTTCATCTGCAATTGATGTGACACTGAAACAACAAACAAAAAACCACAAAACCTCAACTTAATAAAAATTAAGCGCCCAGAAAGAGTAATTTAATACCTTTCCCAGCTGTCTTTGATGTCCCCTGTAGTTCTCCAGGCATTACCATATTGGCCAGCCCATTTTGCAGGATACTCTTCTCCCCTATCACAATTTATGTTGGTTTGCTTAGAATTTCTAATCTGATATAGTGAATAGTTTGAGATCCTAAAAATAGAAAATGGAAATTAAACAATTACTTACCATTCACATATGGAGTAAAGAATTGGTCTGCCTGCCTTGTGCAATGCATAACTCATCCTGGAATATCTGTTGCCAAAGGGAAAACAATTTTATCTGATATATAATCATGAAATTAAAAACTGTAACTTAAGTATATAAATTGAATTAATTCACTAAAAATGGTACCTTTCCTGTGGTTTCGAGCCATCATGGTAACAATTATCGTACTTCAAAAAGTCAACACCCTATTGCCCGAATGTAAATTAAATATTAAGGATAAAAATAAAAACTCAACTAAAAACTTCAGCGGGAGCAGACTAAATATACACTACTAACCCATTGCGCAAAGGTGCTGGCATCTTGCTGTTCATGTCCAAGTGAGCCTGGCATTTTTTTGCTGCAGGTACTATAACTGAAGAATTCATTAAAAAAAAAAATGAAAATTTATTAACTTTACTGCAAATATTGGTCCAGGTTAATTAACAAATTAATATTATAACTTTTATAGACATATATACCCTGCATCAGAATAAATGCCAAGTTTTAAGCCTCTAGCATGAACATAATCTGCAAGGGCCTTAATTCCAGAAGGAAAAGTTGAAGATTTTGCCCTTAGATTGCCATTCCTGTCTCTACTCTCTTCTGCCCAACAATCATCTGCCCTTTTCAAAAGCATTTAGGATTACTGCTATTACTGATAGTGACCCTTGTAAAATAAAATCCTTAATTTCAATATTTTTCCTCTCCTAAAGATGGACCATAGAAAAGGACTTTTGCATACCAATATTAACATACTTGTATCCAAGTGCAGCTAACCCAGTTGAAATAAGAGAATCAGCTGTTTCCAGAAATGAAACAAAAGAAATGAAGTCAATGTTAAAAACACATAAAGTTACATATTGGAAATGAGTAGTCAATTTCTAGACCATAATTGAATTGAAGTTTTCTTTACTACATTACAGAAGTCAGCACAGCTTATATTGTATGGTATGACTGTTTCTAATGTTGATTTTTAGTTTCATCTTTTCCTCTTCATAGACCAATTCAAACTATCTTAACACATTCATTTAACTAACTTCCATTACATATATAATTAGAAAATTCTCAGTGCATTTCTAGTTGAGCACAATGCGGGCAGAGGTTACTGCAACAACGGAATTCACAGGCATCCGTAATCAATGTAATAATCCAGAAAATAAATAAAATCAACTTGATACCAAGAATTCATTAAGTAAATAAAAAAAAAAAAAGTTATGCTTT